ATTCTGATCAGATGATTATACCTCCGGAAATATTTTCATTTTATATAAAGTATTGCATGACATAGTAGTGATTTAGATTCAGTTAGAAGTTTCAGGTAGAGGGGGCTGACACTGTAGCACAGCAGGTTAAGCCACCGTCTGTAGCACCAGCATCCTATATGAGCACCGGTTTGAGTCCCAACTGCTCCTCTTCTGATCCAGCTCTCTGCTATAGCCTAGGAAAGCAGTGGAAGTTGGCCTAGATGCTTGGGCCCCTGCACCTACATGGGAAACTGGGAAGAAGCTCCTGGCTCCTGGCTTCAGATAGGCCCACCTCAGGCTGTTGCAGCCATTTGGGGGAATGAGCCAGCAGATGGAAGGCCTCTCTCATTTTCTCTCCCTCTCTCTATTTGTAACTCTGCCTCTCAAATAAATAAATAAATCTAAAAAAATAAATAAATATCTAGGACTGATGCTATGGCGCAGCAGGTTAACGCACTGGACTGAAGCGCTGGCATCCCATATGGGCGCTGGGTCAGGACCTGGCTGCTCCACTTCCAATCCAGCTCTCTGCTATGGCCTGGGAAAGCAGTAGAAGATGGTCCAAGTCCTTGGGCCCCTGCACCTGCGTGGGAGACCTGGAGGAAGCTCCTGGCTCCTGGCTTTGGATTGGTGCAGCTCCAGCTGTTGTGGCCAATTAGGGAGTAAACCAGCGGATGGAAGACTCTCTCTCTGCCTCTCCTCTCTCTGTTTAACTCTGACTTTCAAATAAGTAAATAAATTTCTAAAAAAAAATATAAATACCTCTTTGTCAGCAAACTCCTGAAAGGGATATTTAAAAAAAAAACATAAAACTTTGAAGTAGAAACATGTGTATTCACTAAACTCTTAATAGAACTAATAAAGTCATTGTTTTTCAGTATACAGATGCTAATTTATTATTTCATTTATTATCTTGAAACTTACAGACATCATTTCAAGTTACAAATATTTTGTAACTGGTTTTTAACTTGAAATTATGCATATGTCATGGACAAACCAGAGTTTGCATATGTATATAGCGTTCAATTAGCTAAGGTGATGTGAAAATACACTCTCTGTGTGTGTAACTCTATGCATATCCTTTAGAAAGACCATAGTCCCATCAATAGTGGCAGTTACATCCTGGAGGCTCTATAATGGTTAAAAACAAGAGCTTTGAATTCAGATATTATTTTATCACTTACTAGCTGTGTGACTTTGTTCATTGTCTCTGTTTTCCTCAGAACAACTCCACTGAGATCCAGAAAGGTGAACTGATACCTCACATTAGGTAGGAATCACTGTCGGCCGGCGCCGCGGCTCAATAGGCTAATCCTCCACTTTGCGGCGCTGGCACACCGGGTTCTAGTCCCGGTTGGGGCACCAGATTCTGTCCTGGTTGCCCCTCTTCCAGGCCAGCCCTCTGCTATGGCCCGGGAGTGCAGTGGAGGATAGCCCAAGTGCTTGGGCCCTGCACCCACATGGGAGACCAGGATAAGTACCTGGCTCCTGCCATCAGATCAGCACAGTACACCGGCCGCAGTGCGCCAGCTGCAGCGGCCATTGGAGGGTGAACTAACGGCAAAAGGAAGACCTTTCTCTCTGTCTCTCTCTCTCTGACTGTCCACTCTGCCTGTCAAAAAAAAAAAAAAAAAATCACTGTCCACAGATATAGAAGTCACCATCATTCCAGTCTTACTGCACACAAAGTTAATTGTCACTTTTTCTAGCCTTTTTCTCCCACGCTGGAAGTCCCCAATAACACATTTATCTTCTGTTCTTATTATTCTCTTTCTGTATCTGTGACCTTTTTCTTTGTCCTTTGGCTCCTTTTTCTTTGTCGGACCACACCTTGGTGCTTAGACTCTAGGGTTGGTTATGTATTTTTCTTTGTTGCCTCATTAAAAACAAAGCCCTTCTTTATCTGTTTCTACAACTGTACTCTGGCTACTCCAAACACCAAGTGGTTCTGGAAACATCGCAAAGCTGGGTACCTTACTCTCCTAAACACTTTCACATTCCTCACCGATGCACACATAGCTTGTTCATCAGCATGGGTGCTCAATAAGTGCTCAGTTGATAGTTCCGTGTGATGATCATTTATAGCTGCAGGTCTGTATACACTTAGCTTGAATTGCTGAGGTTCACTCATTTTGGAAACTTAGAAAAAATTAAATGCTTAGCAAAATACATCAATGCTATTCATTTTCATTAATTTTGCCACTGTTTGAGTTAAAGTTCTGTGGACATTTGCAGGTTGGAAAATATCTCTAAAAACCACAAAGAGGCACTAATGTGGACAACCCTGAATCCCTCTGAAAAATAAGCACCTGCTCTTCTTGTTTACTATAATAACAGATGCCTGGTCTTTGTACAGGTCAAACAGGTTTTTTAGATTTTCAAAAGCAAATTATCTGACATTAGGCCTGGAGCTGTCTATGGACCTTGATAATAAGATCTTAACCAAATACTAGAGGCTTCTGATATTATGAAAATATCTTGGCTAATATTAATACAGAAAGTTTAGGCAGTGGGAAAAACCTTAACTGTAGTACACGTCTATATATTATAGCTGGCTTTTCAGTTGCAACCAGCATGATGAAATCTAAGGTGACATCCAGATCGCTGCTAATCTATTTTTATGCTTAATTTTAGCTTGTTCTAAAATTATGTCTTGGTTAGCCACTGGGGTGAAAATCTGGTGAAGCCTATAACATTTTAGCAAAATACTGAGCAGATGATGTCCCTTAGCTGTTTACATGCTGGCCCCTAGACTGTATAGTGAACAGGAATTGTTATTAGCAAGAATTTCTTTTTCAGTTGATATTCTCAGTTCCTACCCCAGTATTTGGCCCATAAAAGTTGTTAAATAATAAATGAATGTGTGCCTAGTTTTTATCACCCCAAACACACATGTGCTTTGGGGGAGTCTTCAAGGTATTTGTATTATCATCTGTTATCCAAATGAAACATAGTCCATGCAAAAATTCTAGATCTGTATTGTCCAATATGGTAAACACTAAACCTTACTTGTATTTATATTGAATTTAAAACTAATATAGATGAAATAAAATTAAAAATTCAATTCTTCAATTGCATAGCCATGTTTAAGTACTCAAAAGGCAATGAGGCTAGGTGTTACATATTGAACATGGCATATATTGGACATTGCAGAAAGCTGTATTGGACAGCATTCTCACAAAGAGTATAATATCTTCTTCATGTAAAGAAAAACAAAATCCCACCATGACATTATATAAATTTCAACCTTCTCAGGTGATTTTGCAAATACGAACACCCTTGGCCTTAAGGAGTCCTAGGAGGGCCCAATTTCGATACATTTCTTCATCAACCTGCAGATTTGCGACAGTCTTAGACTCCTTGAGGGCTCTTTAAGAGCTTTTTAATAAATTCAAGATACTATAGAAGAAAAATATCTTAAACAAGTAATTGTCTCACTTATGTGTGCTAAATATTCAGATTCCCAGGTACTACCTTTAAGTTCCTGACTCAATAGGTCTGAGATTCTTTAATGAAATGACATTTTTGGCAACTTTCCTGGGTGATTTTGATGTTGGTGGTTCAAGGATCACATACTGTAAAAATTAGCCTGAGAATTATAAGGACTATATTCCTATCTCATTTATTCAACAAAAGTTATTGAGCTTCTATATGTTTTGGGTCCTGTTCTAGGCACTGGGGCTACAAAGATTGAGAAAGAGAAGGCATGAATTGAAGAGGTATTAATGAGAAGTACCTTTTGTAAACTCGTTCCTCACAGGCACCTTAACCACCGCCTCCTGCTCATGCCTGTCCCAAGGTTTTCCCTAACTGAAATATGGCTTGTTTCTGGATGTAAGGGAAGTCTGGGAAAGAAATGATAGCAGCAAAAAGAGGAAGGAGAAAAAGGAGAAGGAGTGGAGACAGGGAAGTGGACTAGATGAAGAGAAAAAAAGAAAAGGAATGGGGGAACAGACAAAGGTGGATCTGAGCAAGAGGAAGTAGAATGGACAAACTTGATGACTGCATGTGGGACAAGGCAATAAACAAGAAAGAGTCTCTGATGACATTTCGCTTTCTGTCCCAGGTTGGTAGGGCCATTCATGTAATCAGGAAATGCAGACAGAACAGCAGTTTTGGGGAAAGAACATGGTTCAGCTTGATATCTACCGATGTAACAATGATATAAACCCTATAAATGGGAAACCTGCTTGTCTTATTTTCTTCTTCCTGCACTGCCGGGTGGAGACATCCAGAAGGCAGTTGGAATAAAGTTTTAGAGCTTTAAGTTCAGATACAGAATGAGATGCACCGATGTTACCTGAAATAAGTGAAATCATACAGGAGGATGAAATCGTATTATGTGTATAGAGAAGAGAAGGCTCAGAAGGATGGAAATTGGCTGGACATCAATGCTTTAGACAGTGATTTTTTACTCTTATGGTTGGATGAGTTTTTTGAAAAACCAAATGATTTCTAAAGGATGCCAAATTTCATAGGTAATTTTTGTAAAAATTACCAAGATAACTCCTGTTGAGAACTTTCTTGAATTTCATGTGTTTAAATAGTGAAAGAGGAGGGAGAGGCCATAAAGGACCATGAAACAGTGAGTCATTTAGGCATAAAGGAAAACAGATTTCCAACTCATGAAGACGTTTTCATCAGACTGAAGGCAACAGTAGAGATAAACACTCTAAGTGAGCAGCCCGCTTCTCTCATATTCCCGTTTATAAAATCAGGAAATCAAGAATGCCAATTTAGAAGTAACTTATTGATTCCATTTTCTTTCATAACCCCTCAGAGCCAGAAATTGAATTTCCTCTCTATTTCACTTGTGCTTTCGTTTTCTGAGTCATGGAAGCTATGGCATAGTTAACTTAGGGAAGAGAAGCCTTTTTACACAATTAAATTCTCTTCTTCCTGGGTGTAAGAGAGGGGAAGGGCAAGGCCAGCATCCAGTTGTCTTTTATTGGGACCCCTTCCTTTTATGTCGCACTTACCCATGGAAGTGATGATAACTGTGAAATGAGTTTCGTCTTGCCTTCCAGTTATATTGTTGTAAGCACAGCAAACGTAGTCAGTTGTCTTCTGGGCTACTTTCTCAGATGCGACTTCTAGGCGAGGCCCATGCTTAATAAAATACGTTGTGTTGTCAGTCATCCCGATCCAGGAGTAGGTGTTGGGGGGATAGGAGTCAGCAGAGCAATCGAATAGGATGGCTTCTCCCAGGTCAACAGTAAACACTTCTCCCACTTTTAGCCCTTTATCAGAATTAACTTGAAGTCCGTAAGGCCCATCTGCAGAAATGCAAAAACAAAATAGAAAGGTAACATGAGTAACTATAATATATTTGGGTCTGGGAAAGCTTAACAGCATCTGATTTTCTTTGAGAGTCTTCATGTTAGCCATGAGCAAACAGGACCTCATTTAGACTCCCAGTGAATGACAAGGACCTAAATATGTTTTATTCTGATATCCACAAAAATAGAAATTATTTAATGTGATTCAAATTCATTTGAAATAGTGAAAGCCTAAAAGTTGGTTTTTAATTTTATAAATGTTGCTATGATTGTGATGTTAAATGTTTGAGTAATATATTGATACATCTGCAGTCTTGCTAGACAAACTCAATATTTCTGAAACATTAATTCCACCTGAAAATATTTTACAATAGACTATGCCCCCAATTTTCTCTTTGACAATCATATTTTGAGTATATTTATTTTTCTTTACAGTGCTAGCATAGGTTATGCAGACATTTATAAAAGACAGTCCTACCAGAAACATGAATTTGTGCAAGAAAATATGGGATGTTATGTATTTTCATAATATTTTACTGATCTATTTGTTTTAAATTACTTTTAAAATTTATTTAGGAGGGGAGGAGGGAAGAAAGATCAGAGAGACAGAGAAATAGAAAATGCTCATAGCTGCAAGTTTATTCCCCAAATTTTCAAATGGCTAGGGCTTCACTAATTCATTCCACGCCTCCCACGTGGGTGACAGGAACATAATACTTGAGACATCACCTGCATCCCAGGTCTATATAGTTGGGAAGCTGGATCAGGAACTGGAGTTGGAATTGGAACCCAGGCACTCCAGTGTGGGATGTGGGTGCCCCAACTGCTAGGCTGAAGCCTGCTTTGACATTTTAACAGTTGAAGAATCTTTGATTATAACTGCCCTGCTATACATCATGATATCTGGTATTGTGATGTGCAAGCTTAATTTTTATTGCTTAGGATTGCTTCTTGCTTTCTTCCATTCAATATAATGATGCCTGTGAGTTGGTCATATATTGCCTTGATTGTGTTGAGATATGTTCCTTTTGTACCCAGTTTGTTAAGGTTTTTTTTTTAATCATGAAATTATGTTGTATTTTATCAAATGCTTTCTCTGTATCTACTGAGAAAATCATATTGTTTTTATTCTTCAGTTTGTTAATGTGATCAATCGCATTTATTGATTTGCCTATGTTGAACCATCCCTGCATACCAGAGATAAATCTCACTTGCTTCTGGTGATCTTTCTAATACGTTGTTAGATTAGATTAGCTAGTATTTTGTTGCATTTTGTGTTTATGTTCATGGGGGATGTTAGTCTATAGTTCTCTTATTTTGTTGTATCTTTTTCTGTTTTAAGAATTACGGTGATGCTGGCTTCATGGGAGTTTGGGAGGATTCTCTCCCTTTCAATTGTTTTGAATAGTTTCAGAATAATTGGAATTAGTTCTTTAAAAGTTTGGAAGAATTCAGCAGTGAAGCCATCCATGGGGCAGGCACTGTGGCACAGCAGGCTAAATCCCTGGCCTGCAGTGTTAGCATGCCATATGGGTGCCGATCCAAGTCCTGGATGCTCCGCGTCTGATCCAGGTCCCTGCTAATGTGCCTGGGAAATCAGCAGAGGATGCTTCAAGTCCTTGGGCCCCTGTACCCATGTGGGAGACCTGGAAGAAGCCATCTGGTTCTAGGCTTTTATTTGTTGAGAGGGTCTTTATGACTAATTCAATCACCATCTTGGTTATAGGTCTATTTAGCTCTTATATGTCTTCATGACTCAATTTTGGTAGATTGTATGTGTATAAAAATCTATCATTTTTTCAGACATTCCAATTTGTTGGCATATAGCTATTTGTAGTAATTCCTGATAATTGTTTTATTTCTGTGGTATCCATTCTGACATCTCCTTTTGCATCTTTGATTTTATTAATTTGTATTTTCTCCTTTTTTTTGGTTAGTTGGTGAATCAGTTTTGTATATTTTCTCAAAAAACAGATTTTCATTTTATTGATCTTTTATATCATTTTGGGGGGATTCAATTTGTCCATTTTTTCTTCTAGTTTTTATTATTTCTTTCCTCCTATTAATTTTGGGTTTGGTTTGTTCCTATTCATTAGATCTTTGAGAGGCATCAATTATTGATGCCTTTTCAATTTGTTGATGTAGGCATTGATTGAAATTCCTCTCTCCATGATCCAACATGGGAAGTGAGATACACAGCAGACCCATAGAATGGCAGATGTCCTAAACAACACTCTGGCCTCAGAATCAGCCCTTAAGGCATGCGGATCTGGCTGAAAAGCCCATGAAAGTATTTCAGGCATGGAAAACCAAGACACTCAGGGGAAAAAAAAAAACCCTACATGAAAGATCTCCGCGAGTGGGATCCCAGTGGAAAGAACGGGTCATCAAAGAAGGAGGTACCTTTCTCTGAAGGGAGGAGAGAACTTCCACTCTGACCATGGCCTTGTCTAAATATGATCAGAGTCGGTGAACTCAGGGGGCTTCCATAGCCTTGGCAGCTCATGACAAGAGCCTAGGGTGATTACGGAGGCCATAAACAAGAGTGTCAGTTTGTTAAGTCAACAACAGGAGTCACTGTGCACTTACTCCTCATGTAGGATCTCTGTCCTTAATGTGCTGTACATTGAGATTTAATGCTATAACTAGTACTCAAACAGTATTTTTTCACTTTATGTTTCTGTGTGGGAGCAAACTGTTGAAATCTTTACTTAATGTATGCTAAACTGATCTTCTGTATATAAAGAGAATTGAAAAATGAAATCCTCATGTGAATGGAAGGGGAGAGGAAGTGGGAAAGGGGAGGGTTGCGGGTGGGAGGGACGTTATGGGGGGGAAGCCATTGTAACCCATAAGCTGTACTTTGGAAATTTATATTCATTAAATAAGTTAAAAAAAAAAAGAAATTCCTCTCTCCAAGTTTAGGATCCCATTTAGAAAAACATGCATCTTCATTATCATTAAAAACTACTCATTGATCATCAACTACCTAATCATGGATACTCCATGAGTTTTGTTTCACACTGTAAAACTCCTGCAGCATTTTACCATTTCTGAAGTGTCAGAGTGGAAGCAGATAGACAACTTGCCTGGTTTTCTTTGTTTGTTTGTTTTTTCAGAGAATAAAAAAGAGACACTGGTAAAAAGAATTCCCCAGCTAGAAAGGTTTTCTCATCTGGTCTAAATTCTGTCTTATATTCTAAAGAAATTCTTTTTTGAGTATTTTCAATCCATGCTTGATTGACTCCACTGGTGTGGAACCCATCAGAGGGCTGGCTGCAAGTTCACTTGTAAAGTAGTCAGGAACTGGAGGTAGAAGTGGAACATGAGAAGAAATGTGTGCCTCTTTCCTGTGACTGCCCTAAGACCTTGATGCTGTTCTTTTATTTTGGGCTCTGATGCAGTGTCAGCTGAAAACTCTGCTAAGGTGTTTCCAACAGTGTGCGGTGGACTGAGTCTCTCAGTCAGCAGTCCACTAAATGGTGAGTAGTGGAATAGGAATGGAAATTTGCTTTCACTTACTCAACCTTTGGAACTCCTCCTTTGAAATTGCCTTGGGACCTTAAACACAGTGGAGAATTCTCACAAGTAGTTATTTTTCACTTTTGGAGGGCAGATTCATGTTGTAGAGGAAGTCCAGTCATTTGGAGCCACCAATGGTAAATAAGGTCAAATGACCTAATTTTAAAAATATCACTTTTTAAAAATATAGCATACCTTTAAAGAAAGGTGACTAATTATTTTAGCTCATCTTCTCTACTTACTCAGGTTCATAGGTTGATTTTGCTACCTCCTCATTTGTTGAGTTTCATGATTGGCATAGCATTTTCTCCTCTGTCTTACTTACATGGTATCCTCAAATAGCTTATCCACCCTATCCTGCCTGAAACCCAAATATTGCTTTCAGTTTCTAGAATCTAATATCTTGAAGCATTTAATTTCCTTGCTGATGATATTATTTCTTAGAATGTGCCATATTTGATCTGATTATACAGTTTAAGAAATATATGTCAGATGTTGAAAATGCAAAAATTCAGAGAAGCATAAAGGTGAAAGCAAAAACCATCTGTAATTTCACTGCTCAGAGAACCAATACCCACATTTCAGTGCCTGATTTCCACGTATTTCCTCTATGCTTCTCTCTCTCTCTCTTACACACATACACACATGCACACACACACACACACACACACACGTCTATCTAATTACATCTCATACTGTATCCATCACTTACAATATATTTTCTCCATGCTATAATATTATTCCCTTCAGGTTTACCAGCCCTGGTACAGCCTTGTATATTATTTGAGGCACAACCTTGTGTATTGTTTGAGTGGATGGGCTGTCCAGTTGGGGACATTTGGAGTGATCCAACCAGAGTTGCCTCCAGTGCTGAAGATGAAAGTAGAAGGGTCATTGCATTTTGAATTTGGATTAGGGTTTACCTTCTTGCCTTTGGCAGAGAGCTCCCAATATAAATGAGCCCATTGCCTTGAGAATGGCTGTTTACTAAGTGACTTGTAAACTCATATATCATCTGTTCTCTTTAACAATTTATGGCTGGGCGGGAACAGTACCTAAATTTCCGTCATGAGGCTGACTGCCACCCTGCTTGGGAGCAGATGGTAGGTATTTATTTACTATGAATGACACTTTTTTTTACTTTAATTTTTATCACTTAGAGAACTCCCCCTCAGCAGTACCATATGTTGCACACAAAATGTAACTGGATTATTTACAGCTGGAGGTAGAAGTCTCCTTAATTATTGCCTTCACACTGTCTGCCACCAGACTATGACATCAGAACTTCATAGATACATGATCAATCTTGATAGATTTTATTATACTTTTAAAAATTCTCTTTAAAATAAAATAATTCCTGCTTTCATGAATAAATGTCATGGAAACAGTACTTTTAGAAAACAGAATAGGTGATTCAAGTTGGAATTCCAAATTATTATATATCTCTCAAAGGGATAAATATTGGGATCTGACAC